ATGAAAAAAAAAGGATCTTTGCAAATTGTTTGCTGAATCCCTCATCTCTGTTTCAAAAAAAAAAAAAAAAAAAGAAAAAAAAGTCTTACGTGTTAATTGTTTTCTTACGGGGACTCTTCTCAAACCTCCCCTTTAGACAATGCCATTTTACAACCCAAACTCCTGTACATGACATGCACAAGTAATTACTGGTCTGGGGTGTATTTGTTTCTTTAAGTGACTGTGGCTGAAAAATTGAGGATAAAAAGAAGAGATCAGCCTTTGAAGTTCTCTGTACATGGAAAAATAAAGCAAAACCAGGTGGAAGGGAAACCACGGATTTGGAAACAAGAAAGGACCAAGAGGTAATTTTCCATACATTTTTCACATGAAAGTATAAGTAATCCTTACAGAAACACTTTTCTCGAGGAGCAGTTGTTCAGAGGACCTAATTAAACAGAGTATGTCAAAGTTTTTCAAAATAAATGAAGTATTCATACATGTGTTAGGTATTATAAGAAAATATGTGTTATTGCCCTATCACTTTCTCTTTCTTTTAATTCTTGTTTTTAAAGATAATGCTACTGACACACTATTTATTGGAAATTCATCAGAGTTACTGGTTGAGATGAGCTAGAGATAAGAGCTAGTCCACTAAAGCAACATACAGATTCACTCTGTAAAAATACTAGCCTTCAAGAGCTTGAGTCTAAACCTCATAACTAAACAGCTGTGTTAACCCACTTATGAGTTACAACAAAAATAACATTCATTCTTCTTTCAAATTATTTAGTATACTAGATTTTACTACTCAAAATCAGCAGCTTTTACATAAATGTTTCATTGGTTATAAAACTCATCCTTATTGCATAAAGAATAAAATTATCAAATAATCTATTTCAGTGAATAACTTTATAATATTTACCTTTATTATCTTTAAAAAAATTGTTTGCTGACTATAAAAAGAAAGAAAGAAATCTCCTTCAATGTCAGTTGTTCAGATTCATATAAGACCTAATTGCCTCATACGCGATAATTTTGCCACCGGTTTACAATTAGCATGCATTGCTCATGCATGAGTTGACCCAATTACATAACAAATTTTGCCTTTGGGGATTTCTCTTGACTGCTTGTCTTCTGTCCACCATACAACTCAATTTCACACTGTCAGCAGCCTGAACATGGTTACAGTCAGTCTCTGTCAAAATGATTTATTTAAATTACAAACAGAGACCAAATCCCTAGATAATTGTCCCTACCCTCAGGTTCACCCTTGCACTCAACCCAACTTTGAATCAAATCTTTTAATAGTCCATAGACACTGCTATTCAATTATTAGGCAATGTTTAGTCCTGATAATCTAATATTGTTGAAGCTAATTCACAAAATCTCAGGGAACTAAATCAGCAGTATCCATGTGAGCTTATTAATGGGCATATAATTTATTTTACATTCTAAGAAGTCAGTGAAAAATTATGTAGTGTAGCCAAAGAGCTAAAAATAATTATATTGCAAGATCAAATTACAGAGAGATCACTTTTTTGGTATAATTTTTTTTAAGTGTCACTCAGCTTTTTTGTAAAGTAGACAAGCATTTCTTATTAATGGGTATGTGGAATTGAAAGTGGTAGCCAAAAAGGGTATTTGGGAAAGAAGATAGGTAACCAAAATTGTGAATACTGACAAGGTAAGGGAAATCACATAGGACAGGTGAAAACACTAATGTCTATAGACCAGTGATCCAGGAAAACGGGGTTTTAGAGACTCTCACTGAAGCCAACACACAGAGGTACATACACAGATACACACACACACACACAGACATGCAAAATTATTTTCTCCATTTGTCAAGAACATGCAGAAATCCTGACAAATCAAGTAACGGTATACTCACTATTTCAGTCAGTTTGTAAAACGCAAGATTTTGTCTTCTGGTGTTTTGTTTTGGTTTTTTTTCTTTCCCCTTCATTTGATATTTCTCTTCTCTCTGAAATAAATTAGAAAATAAACACCTACGTTTTATCTATGGCACAAAGTCTGTAAAAGTCTCTTGGGGTTTGACTTTACCATTTTATTTCATAATTTATCCCCAGATAGTCTCAGCTATTTGAAAGCGCAGCTGATATTAGTGGGTAAACAGGCAGAATGAAATTTTCTCAAGGCTAGCCCGAGTCCCTTGAATGTCCTGTGATGGTTCTGCTTTGAGGTCCTGCTGCAGGTCCCCTGAATGCATAACTTGTAAACTTGAAGGTGGGAACCACCTGAAATTAGAAAGAGCCTTTACAGTTACTCACATGAGCTAGCCCTGTAACAGCCCTATAAATGGGTTTTTTGGTTTTTTTTTAATGCCATGAGCACAGTATTCCACAATTCCTACTTGGACACTGTCCCCTAAGAACATTTTCCTAAAATATTGGTAAATAAAGAAAATGTGATATACACAGCTATTTCTGCCATTTCTCAAATTATACCCAAGAGTTTGGGGCAAGGAGAGGGTGGATGGCAATTAAGTGACACAGTTATGAAAATCTGTGGGGCAGGGCTTTCTGGCACTGAGTTCCTAAGTCAGTGCAGAACACATTGGCTTTCAGGGATACACTTTAAGCAAAACCTGGACTTCTAAACATTATCTTCAATTAAATGATTTGGCTGGATTTCCTGACTTCCCATAAAAATTGTTCCCAAGCCTAACATTCAATTTCATAAGCAACCAAACTCCATCTGAATATTAATACATTCAATGAGATGAAGACATCTTCTGAAATTTCACAGGGGAAAAATATGACTTTCCTTTATTTTAGAAGCCAAGTCCTTTTTCTTCCTAGTCATTTAGTCATTTCTGAAATCCTGCCTCTTTTCCTGTTTTGTTCTGTAGCGATACTAAGTGGGTAATACAGCAGAAGAATTTTAAATTGCAGTATTTAATAAATCTCCCATGTTCAATATGTTGTCATTTATAGCTACCCAAAGAAAGGAGGCAAGCTCACCCACTCTCACCTCTTTCATCACACACAATTTGAAATTTATGGTTGTATTTTATCCCACACCTTAGTAACATATGCAGACTGAGTGGTCATTTCCAAATGATTTCAAATCCTTGACAAATGAACATGAGAGTAGCTGAAAAAATATCAAAACATTGACACAGACATAAGCAATCAAAAATGCCCATTCATCCGTAACATATTACCCAAAACACCTAAGAGTTGTCGTTAAATTCACTGCTTTATGTCTTTATACTCTCTTTAGTCCAAGAGAGATTAAAGGCAGCTAAGAAAGAGCCACACAATATTTAGAGACACAGTAAACTAGAAACAAAGAAAATTAAACACAGGGAAACATAAAGATAGGAAAGACTGCCAGTGTTAGTTAACCTACCTACATTAACCTACATTAAACTTGGTGCTCAAATGCAAGACTCATAAATTTCATACCCCTAACAATTTTCAGGATTATAATTTCCCTGCATCTCTAGCCGGAAGATTCTGGGGTCTTTCTAGTCTAGACACTTTCTCACCTGTTTCCTCTCGTAACAGAAACAATCCAGCCACTGTCAAAAAGTATCTGTTGGATTTTAGCCAATATTGTTCAGTGGGTTTAGATTAAAGTAATATGGAAAACTGGACCTGCCAAAATACTACTTTTTGGATCAACCCAAGTTTCTTACAGAAAAAGATCCTTGAGTAATATGGAAAACCTAGTGAGGTAAGGGAAAAAGTTCATGAAGTTGCAGTCTTATAAATGAGTAATAAATTCACCAGACCTCAGAACACTTAACAGCCTCCCTTCCTCAAGAGTTGCTCCCTAACAGTAATATTATGAAGTCTGTATTTTTTACTGCTACTCAGATATTTAATGTGCATCATCTAAGAGAACTACTTATAAACTGCTATGGCTGCTAACATCAAGACATTGCAAAAAGTTTTTTTTAAAAGAAGATGTTGCCTAAATTACATGCTTTTAAAAATCCGTGTTGTCTAAATAATAGGCTTAATCTAAATGGTGTGTTTTATACTGCTCTCTATATAACATACCATATACGATAGACGTAGATTAATACATACCTGTGTTATAAGGGTTTTTTGCATAATTAAGAATGGATCTGCAAACAACCTCTGGTATTGAATAAAATGCATAAGCCTGTTAATGATAAAGGTTGGTAAAATGATCAGTTCTTTTCTAATTAAACATGAATATTGACTAAATTTGAATCAAAATTAAAAGGCTTACCTTTGGTCAGCTGCAATTCTTGTGTTAGCTGTCAGGTGGATGTCTTAAGTAGAAATGTTTAGTTCCTTTTGAAATAAAATTCTGTGATTGTTGAAGATGTGTGATATAACTGTTTTGGGCAAAATTATTTTTTAAAGAAACATTTCCCAAAAATAATCCAAAGAAAGAACTGTTATTAAATGTAGCTGCCGCTGAAATAGATCTTCGATTTGCGTTTTTGAAAACAAACATAGGTTTTTGATTTAAGGAAAGAATAAACAGGAAGAAAAATTAGGACAGTGATCTTCAGTATTCATTACTGGTGGATTATTGGGATGGGGTAGAAAAACTAAGGAACAAATGTCATGAAATCTTAAAATTCAACTCTTCTTCTTCAAAGGAAAAAGTCCCTACTAATATAAAATGTCCATTTAAAGAGAAAAACAAAATGTGTATCTTGCATCCTCTTACTTTCTAACAAATTTTTAACATGAAATAATCCTGGTTTTGAACTTTTGACATATAAAAAGTTTTTTCTCAAATTACATAGAATTCTATCTGCAAATTGTATATGTTTGTATATATATGTGTATGCACACATATATAATATATATACACACATATATACATGTATACATACATCTCAATGATGACCAAATATCAGTGAGTTTAAAACCATCTGCTAATTGAACATGTCCTGGAAATTAAGGCTACATCCGTTATAACACCTAGATATACACATTTTAGTGACTTTATAAGTGACGCACAAAATACAGTTCTCATGAAAAGTGGTATGTGTGTTACCTGTTGCTCATACTTTTATGTTGCCCACACATTTGTTAATTTTCATTCATATTAACTCTTGGATATCTAATACTGAATTAATTTTTGTGAAAAAAAATACATCTTGACACACTTCATATAATATTTTGGAAGAAACATAATCACAGGTGTGAATTACAAAAAGTAAGAAGAGCTGTTTATCAGCCTTTAAAGTACTGAGCCTTATTTAATAAGTATCAGCCTTATTAAAGTACTGAGTTAATACCTCCTTAATGTATTTTTAACTGCTAGTCTCCACTTTCTCTTTCGTGGACACTCTATTACTAAACAAGGCACAGCTTCAAGTCCAAAGCAACTACATATATAAATGTTTATTTCAAAAGTAAGATGTAATATCTGATTTCAACAGATATCTAATTCAAATTATGAAATCGTATAGACACATATACATCAAATAGATTTTTTTAAGATTCTTAATCTTATGTATATTTTATATGTTTATTCACAGCCAAAACTTAATTTTCAAGTTTCTTATTTTAATTATAAAAGGCCTCTTTTGGAAAAATTCAAAAGCTGAAAACCGTTCAAAATGGAATAAGGAGATCTTATATTAGGTAACTAAGCACTGGGCCCTAGAAAACTGTGATAGAACCAGGGGGCAGGGTTTACCAGATGAAATTGGCATAGTCTACGCGTGCACTGAGTACCACTCGCACCCCACAGCAACACACACACTTCCGAGTCACCCGGCCTCCCTTTCTCATCCAGAAACACACGTCACAGCCAATATGCTATTGAATAAACAGGCACCTACGTTACTGATTTGTTCCTGAGTCCTCTTCAGTCTCTGTAACTCAGGAGTGTCCGTGACGATGCTGAAGCCCCTCCCTTTGCTTTCTTCAAAATCTCTTTTGTACTTGACCTAACAAGAAGGGGGAGAAGAAGAGTGAACTGAAGGATCACAAATCCCACTCAGGATAGGCTGGGCCAGTGAAGCTGCTGGAATTGGAAACAATGGCTAAAAACACAGGTCTCAGTGGAGGTGCAGTTAAGAACCAGCAGGAAACAGCCAGGCTACCTGGTTTGTGTCCCAGAAACTCCACCAACTATCTATCTGACTTTACGCAAGCTCTTTAACCACTCTGTGCTGTCAGTGGTGTCAACTGTACCGTGGCAATAACAACAATGGCTATTGAACAGGATAAAGGGATGGCATCAAGTTGTCCGATCCCAGCTGATAGAAACAAGCACTCCCCATAGCTATTACGATTATCACCATTAATAGCATTATCACTATACAAGGAAAGAAAATGTGGAAAAAGAAAGCTAAATCTTCTTCTACCCTGCCCACTTGTCAGTGAAAGAGCCTCATTTGGAGTCTGAATTGCCCTGTGGAGGAGGGAGACGAAGAATCGACAGCTAACCCTGTCCAAGAAGTTTTCATTCGACTTCAGAAGGCAAACATACGGATACGATTACACAATGCTGTATTGCCAAATGGCAAGTCTATAAATGCTTATGAAAATATTTATAAAATAGGCCACACCTAGAGATTTTAAAAAGCTGCTCACACATGCCCTTGGCATACTGTGTGCTGAAGTAGGGAAGATTTTTTTTCAGTATTTAAATAGACTTCTTTTCTAATTACAACCCAATGGAGCTGAATTTTACTGCTTCCCCAGGGGCCTGGAACAGCTAAAGCTTCATCTTACAGAATCCCATCTCCTGTTATTAGCATATTGACAATAACTGTCACACCAGTTGAAGATTCAGCTTGTTAATGATATCACTCTGACTGTTCTTGTTTAAAGCCTAAATATCAAGAAACATGGAAACACATTTTGATAACCCATAGAATCCCCATTTTGCATTCAAAATTACAAACCTCCAGTTAACAAATTGATCATTAAAATTAAGTAAGCTCATTTAGGGTCGATTATTCAACATGATTCTGTTAGTGTAGTCTCCTGCAGAAGTTGAAAGAAGTTTGTTTTGTTGAACATGGAATGGCTGTTTCTGTTGAGTCGTGTCTGTATTTAAATACCCAATTCTACCAAGTATTATTATCCTCAACGATACTGCAAGATTTTCTTTTACCAGACAAGCTTGAAAGAAAAAAAAAAAAAACACATTAAAAAATCTAGATACTCTCATCACATTGAGCTTAAGAATATCTAATATCTCTCTCCGTACTTTCGATTAGTAAAACCACTAAACCCCTTACTTTATTCCCGTAAGTAAAAGGCCAAACTACAATGTTTTTCTTCCATGTAAAATGCTGAGAGATTAGCCTTCTCACCCTCCATCTCCCAGCATGGGTAAAGACCCACATGCTGGCACGTTCTCAGTGTCTTATGCCTAACTAAGCAGGCAAGCTATTTAGCTTTGCTGGTAGTAAGCACTAAAGGCTCAGAGTAGCAAAATCATGAAAGTTAAAAAGACAAGAAGGTTGGAATAGCAACAGGCATGAAGATAAAAAAGAAATGCCTGTGAGACAAGTTCTAACGTTTCCAACAACATTCTCAGGGAAGGCACAATCACATACTCGTTTTGTTACTGGTTTGTATTTTTTTTAATAGCAATTTCCAAAGACAGAGGTGAAAAGAAAAACCATTAAATTCTAGAATCATAGGCATTTTTGGTTTTTTCCTTTTTGTTTTGGCAGCGATAGGGTCTCACTATGTTACCCAGGATGGTCTTGAACTCCTGGCCTGAAGTGGTCCTCCTGCCTCAGCTTCTCAAAGTGCTGGGATTGCTGACATCAGCCACCACCACACCCAGCCTAAGATCACAGGTTTTGAGCTGATTATCATTCAACAATCCTTTCTACATTCACAAGACACAAAAGAATCATCTGACTTTGGCTTGCCTGGTTGGGTGACTAGTTTTGAGAAGTGTATAATCACCTCTATAAATGGCTTGCAGAGTGTTGCAGGATTCCTATTTCTTTTGAATGGTGTGAAACACAGCCAAGCCTCTTACCCTCTCAGCACCAGTTCAAGCACCAGCCCACCAGTATTTCTTTACTACAGATAGGGAAACTCTGAGTCTCTTGTCAGCTCTCTCTTCCACACTCCCACCCACTTTCATCCCATCTACTTAGGTCTAATTTTAAAAGCTGTCTCAGATGGTTTGTCAGTCATGTGTAGTCTGATTCTGGGAGGCAAGTGGATATAAAAAGAAAACAGAGGACAGAGGGAAGTAGGAGGATGCCTCCCTCCAATCTCATGTGGCCCCTTTGTCCTCACATGACCTCATTGAGGCAAAGAGGACACCACAGACCTGTGACTGATCTTGGGAGGGCCGCATCATCTAGCAAGCATTCAGGAGCCTCAGCGCTGGGACTCTGGCAGGAGCTCTTGGGAAAGGGGTTGTGTAGTTTATTTGTGCCGCTATAAAGGAATACCTGAGACTGGGTAATTTACAAGGAAAAGAGGTTTATTTGGCTCATGGTCCTGTAGGCTATGCAGGAAGCATGGTGCCAGCATCTGTTTCTGCCTCAAGAAGCTTCCAATCATGATGGAAGGTGAAAGGGAACCAGCGAGTCACATGGCAAGAAAGGGAGCAAGGGCAGGGGGATGTGCCAGGCTCTTTAAACAACCAGCTCTCACGTGAACTCATTGTTGTGGGGAGGGCACCAAGCCATTCCTGAGGGTTCCACCCCCGTGAGCCAAACACCTCCCCCTAGGCTACACCTTCAACACTCAGCATCACATTTCAACATGAGATCTGAGGGGGGACAAACATCCAAACCATATCAGGGGTGCTCTGATGTTATGGACTGGCTAGTTTAATTGGCTGTAAAAGTGGAGTTGCTGACTACCATATGGCCACCATCCAATAATGTCAACACAGAGGCAAGCAGAAGAGTGACTGAGATAGAGTCCTGACATCACCATTTAAGCATCTGAATTTAACTCTTCCCAATGCCAGAAACACCAGATTTGCCAAGTTATGTGAGCTAATCAACTCTCCCTTTTACAATCAAAAGAATTCTGATGAACACAACC